ATTTTCAGATGCACTGAATTTTAGCCACTGCTCTATTTTATCTACTCCTGCCTTTGGTTTTCAGTTTCTTCTCCCTCTACATCTCTAGTGAAAATTTTTGGGTGGTTTTTAATAAGAAGCCTGCTGCATTGGAGCTGCAATTTAGAGAAGTCTTTATCTTAACAACAGAAAACAAATATTTTATGGAAAAGAGCTCATGAGAGAAGGAAGGACAGCCTACATGTATCTCCACTGACTACTAACACAGAACTAACTCAGACTGGCTAAACAAATTCTTCATTTGCAGTCAACTGTCTGATGGCCCACTGTTGTTTTCTGTAGTCTTATGCAATGTTTAACTTCCTAGCACTTCTTTCTGCACTAGAAAATTTTCCTGTACCTTGCATAAGAAATCCAAAAAGAACATTCTGTTATTTTCACTATTTATCTTGCTGGAGAAATACAGAGGACCCCTCATGGGTCAATTTCTGGACATGTGTTTATATAAAGTGCACAATACACTTTATTTCTAAACAAAACAAGGTACTGGTCTTGTTTCAGATAAACATGTACATCAAAATTTTACAATGATCATAATGTTTTCAGGCCAAGACTTCTGTATGTTTTCAGGTCAAGACTTCCATAACCATTCTCCATTTCTCTCAAATTTGGAGCTAGACATTTCTCTATTTAGGAAGTTTTCAAATAGCTGATCTTGTTTATTTAACTGCAAACAGGAGCTGACAACTCCAGAAGGCTTTGTTGTTGTCCTCATTGTTCTTACAGGCTTTTCAGGAGTCCAGGAAGATCACAATGCAGATATACCGATAACAGTCTCTATAGCACACACACCCTCTGATGGCACAAACAGGCAGCAGATTACCATGAAGAAACTTCCAAGTAAATGTTCTTTTTCAGGGTAGGTTTATAGTTTCTTTATTTAGAACTCTTCTTTGGTCTTTACTCAGGATTCACTCTCTCCCTGACTGAGATTCACACAGACTCCTGGTAATGCTAACTTGATGTGTTGTGCATGTCATTTCCTACACATATCAGCGGCAGAAATCACTGGTCTTAATGGTTCTATCTTCACTGACAAATAAGATGCAATATTCTGAGAAATTTCCACAATTAGGATGGCTTATACCATTATCATGGAGGAGCTGAGCCTGAAAATTATTTTTACATTTACTGAAATGGTGAATTTTTCTTGCATCACAAGTTCATTCTTCTTCCTCTTGAACCGCTTGGCAGCAAAGCCTTCTGCTGTCTTCCAGATCTTTCATAATACAATATGGTCTTTTACAACTTAAGAACATTTTGCAAGTTATCTTTAACAAAGCAGCCCAATATAAAACAAGTCATACTTGAATTGTTAACATAGCTTAAGGACAAGCTGAAATGCCTGATTCAAAAATCAAAAATATTAACGGTTACAAAAAAACATTCCCAAAACTTTAAGAGCAAATTTCTCCATCAGTGACTCCCAGTAAAATGTTCTGATTCTAGTTCACAAGAGAGTACTGAAGAAATAACTCTGGAGACAACATTGTCACTAATGTTAGAAAAGGATTAAAAAAAAACTCAAAAATTGTAAGCAGGGGACAGATTACAGTGACAGATTTTATGTTCTATTAATTATGGATTGTAAATATAAGCCAAAACTTGTTTTTCCCCTTACCGCCACAAAAATGAAAAGAACCTATTTCTGGGCTGGAAAGTAAGTAGCTAAATATAAAATTTATGTTTGTTGGTGTTGTGCAATACTTCTGGGCTAATTCCAGCCACTAAACTCTTCAGCTGTCCCTCGACAGGTGTAAAGGGGTTTCACTTTGTACTTCTGCAAAAACACGTTAGAACTATTTGGAGACCCTGAAAACTGAACATTACAGCTATGCCATTCTTAAGGACTGAGAGTCATGATCCCAACTTAACTCTTTATCTACATAACTGCAAACTATCCTTCCAAAAAGATGTACCATTATCAATGTCTTTGTCAGTCCGTGGAACTATAATCTTCCAATGCTGTAAGCATGTGTAAACTTTTAGCATAAGCACTGAATAGCAAGTCCCATGACTACAAAACCACTTATATTTCTTCAACATCACTAAACTAGTTAACCAATTACATTATAGATTTCATCCACTTTCTCTCTTCCTATTTTAAAAAAAAAATAAATAAATAAAATAACTACACACAATTTGAATGTGAAATAAAAACATTGAGGTTGAATTTGTTCTTTCATCAACAAATCCCACCAGATGTTTAGCTTTCATGCAATATTGGGTTTAAAATATTCCACCAATTAATTGTCATGCAAGCTTTAACTTAAAACCCTGACACAGATCAAAATTAAAATAAAATTTTAAAAAATCACTTTACCTTTGGCAGTACAGCTTTCCAAAATCATATCAATTATATATGTTAGCAGTTTCTTTTGAAATTAAGGGTTTCCCATGTACAGCAGCCTTACAGGTGCTTTACGAGACACAGTCAGGCTTAGCAACCTGTGTCTAATATTACAGACTTTATTTACCTAAGCCCCCTGTTACCTGAGGAGTCTTTCAGTGAGCCTACTCACACAAATAGAAGTTATTTATAGTGAATGCCGGGTTTTATGCTTCAAGCACAGAAAACACTAACAATGAATATCATTCATATACTTTTTAGGAGCTTCAAATATTTTGGTAGGAAAACTTTTTTCTGTTGGGTTTGGGGTTTTTTTGGTTTTTTTTTTCCTGGCAGGATGAAACTACACTCATACAATCTGTTTAAATTAAACAATGTATGGCAGAATATCACTTTCAAAACGTAAACGACAAAAACAGGTATCACAGATGTGAGTCCGCCAGAGAGCAAGCCCGCCCAGAGTGACAACTTACGGAGCTGGTTTTTTAAACAAACAACCCCCCAAAACAAACAAAAAACCCACCCCACGGGTAAGTAGGAGGCCGCGCAGGCACGCTCCCCTCAGGTTGCCAGGGCCGATTCTGAGGGAGCAGGCCGCCGCGCCGAAGGGGCT